ATCGGAACCAACAGAAGATGGAGATGAAGGTCTGGGACCCAGACAACCCTCTCACAGACCGGCAGATTGACCAGTTTCTCGTGGTGGCCCGGTGAGGGTGGGTGGATGGGAAGGTGGGCTGGGGGAGGTGTGGACATAGTCTGCGTCTCATGCTTAGAGATGAACTTTATCTTTTTCGAGCACAGTTTGTTCCTTTTTTTCTCATCTGACTTTGTTTCCAGCCCACTTGAGCTTTCTCCTTCCCCTCTTCTCGATGTTTCCCTTAGAGCTGTGGGGACCTTTGCCAGAGCCCTGGATTGCAGCAGCTCCATCCGGCAGCCAAGCCTACACATGAGCGCAGCCGCTGCCTCCCGGGACATCACCCTGGTGAGCAGAAGTTGGTGGATAGTTGGGCAGGTTGGGCTTTGTAGGGACCTGCAGAATCTGGGGACAGGGGAGGAGGGGATCGCCCAGAGAATGGGAGTGTTTAAGAGCAGCAGGGGCGTGGTATCAAGGGTTTTGGGTCATCAGCATTGTTCCCCACTTCCCTATAGTTTCATGCAATGGATACTCTGCAAAGGAATGGCTATGACCTGGCTAAGGCCATGTCGACCCTGGTGCCCCAAGGGGGCCCTGTGCTGTGTCGAGATGAGATGGAGGAATGGTCTGCCTCGGAGGCCATGCTTTTTGAGGAGGCCCTGGAGAAGTACGGCAAGGATTTCAATGATATTCGCCAGGACTTTGTAAGTGAATGGTGTTGGGAGGAGAGATGGAAGACTTGACAGGTCAGGGAATAGGACCTGGTGCCAGATGTCAGCTCACCCTTTTCTCCTCCCTCCTTAGCTACCCTGGAAGTCACTGGCCAGCATAGTCCAGTTTTATTATATGTGGAAAACCACAGACCGCTATATTCAGCAGGTATGGAAAGGACATGGGTGCGGGGTGGGGGGCTGGCCAGAGGCCTCCTGCTCAGCTCTGCCTGCGAAGCTGAGGACATCTTGCTGAGAGCCTCTGATCCTTTTTTCTCTTTTCCTTCCTACAGAAAAGATTGAAAGCTGCTGAGGCAGACAGCAAACTGAAACAAGTCTATATCCCAACCTAGTAAGTGTGCTGGGCAGGGGAAACTGGCAGGTTTTCCTTCTCTTCCCCCAGCCTGTGCTTTCCTCAGTAATTGGGGGTGAATAGCTGTCAGGGTCAAACTATTACAGAGGCATGGCAGGGAGGGGTTCTTTTCCTTGACCAGTTCCTGGTTTCCTCCCCCCTTGCTTACTCTCTTAGCACTAAGCCAAATCCTAACCAGATCATCTCTGTGGGCTCAAAACCCGGCATGAATGGGGCTGGATTCCAGAAGGGCCTAACGTGCGAGAGCTGCCACAGTGAGTTCCAGGGCAGGGGCTGCTGGGGGGGGACGGACAGGGACATCTGCTGCAGCTCAGGGTGGGTGGGAGGTCTGCTCCAGCCCAAAAACCCGAGGGGCTCCCCTGAATTCCCCCTTTTCTCTGTGCTTCTGTAGCCACACAGTCTGCCCAGTGGTATGCCTGGGGTCCGCCGAACATGCAGTGCCGCCTCTGTGCTTCTTGTTGGATCTACTGGAAGAAGTATGGGGGACTGAAGACCCCAACCCAACTTGAGGGGGCTGCTCGGGGCACCACAGTAAGGATTGATGGGGGATAGACAGAAGAGAGCAGTAAGCATATTGACATGAGCTTTAGGCAAAGACCAGGACACCCAATTCCTTATATGGTTTGAGACGTGTGGGTGCAGGTGTGTGTGGGGTAGGGGTGGAGGTGCTTCATAGTAGCTGGGGAGCCAGATAGATTGTGCTAGCAGGAGAGATCAGGCAGGAATAAAAGCTCTCTGCAGAGACTGGAAGAAAGGGAGGCTCGGCGCCCATCTGCATCCTCCCTTTTTCCTGTGTCTTCCAGGAGCCGCATTCAAGGGGTCATTTGTCTAGACCCGAAGCCCAAAGTCTCTCCCCCTACACGACCAGCGCCAATCGGGCCAAGCTGTTGGCAAAGAACAGGCAAACATTCCTGCTCCAGACCACCAAGCTGACCCGTCTTGCCAGACGCATGTGCAGGGACCTGTTACAGCCGAGGAGGGCTGCCCGGAGACCCTATGCCCCTATCAACGCCAATGCCATTAAGGCAGAGTGTAAGGGCAGGAGGGCAGGTGGTGGGTTTTGGGTTGCTTTGGCCAGAGGCCAGTGTTTGGTGAGTGTAGGGATAATAAACTTCGGGGCTTGTTAGGAGCATAGACATGGCTCCTGTCCCTGGAAGAGGCCTGAATAGTGAAGGCCCTTCAGAAACTTCCACCTTTACCCTCCAGGCTCTATTCGACTTCCTAAGGCTGCCAAGACTCCATTGAAGATTCACCCTCTGGTGCGGCTGCCCCTGGCGACTATCGTCAAAGATCTGGGTATGTGACAGGGAACCACGCTCTGGATACAGGGTGGGTAGAAGATGGAGAACCAGTCAGGTAGTGTCACCCCCTCCTCTTCCCCTGCTTCTCCCTTTCCCATTGAGTCCGAGGAAGTTTGTTCAGACAAACTGCACTTATAAAGGTTAATATTTTTCCATACGCAACCAGATTACAGTGTTGATCTGGTCACATTTGCGTGCGCTCTTTGAAATACTGGCAATTACTTGCTAGATCCTTCCTCAGCACTATTTTTTTTTAAAAGATTTATTTTTATTTATTTTTACAAGCACTGGGTACAGTCAGAAGCGCGGGAGAGTGAGAGAATTCACCAGAGCCAGAGTGGGGAGCAGAGCAGGCAGACTGAAGTACACTGCTGAGGGGAGCAGCGGGCGACAGGAGAGGTCTGCGCGCCATGTGGGACCCTCCTCCAGTGGCCGGGGAGCAGCCAGGGATCGAACCCACGCTGCAGAGGCTGCGGGCAGCTTCGCAACCCAGCGCTCAACTGCTGCGCCACCAGGGGAGGCCCGTCAGCACTATTTTTTTATTTTTAATTTTTTTAATTTTTTGAAAGATTTATATAAGAACTGGGGTACAGGTCAGAGGCACGGAAGTGTGAAAGACTTCCCCAGGGAGAGCAGGGAGCAGAACTGGCAGACGGACCAAAGACACTGAGGGGAGCAGCGGATGAGACAGGAGAGGTCTGCCACGCCATGTGGGTTTCTCCCTGGCCTGCCAGGAATTGAACCCGTGCTGCAGAGGCTGTGGACAGCTTCACAGCGCAGCGCTCAACCCACGGCGCCACTGGGGAGGCCCCCCACTTTTTTTTAAAGTTTATTTTATGCATACAAGTACTGGGGTATAGGCCAGAGGTGCAGGGGGTGAGAGGATTCACCAGAGACAGAGTGGGGAGCAGAACAGGTTGATCTACTGAAATACACTGCTGAGGGGAATAGCAGGTGAGACAGGAGAGGTCTGCTGGGTCATGTGGGTCACCTCCCTGGCCAGGGAGGGAACTAGTAGCTTCATAGTAATGAGACTAACCCCTTGTGCCACCACCTTTCCTATCACTGTTTTGGGTGGTGCCCAAGGAACTACACAGAGGGGAAAATAGGAAAGCTCACTAAATTGGTTTTTTTTTTTTTTTTTTTTTTTTTTTTTAATTCTGGCAGTGGCCCAGGCACCTCTGAAACCAAAAACACCTCGGGGTACCAAGACACCAATCAACAGGAACCAGCTGACCCAGAACCGGGGACTGGGTGGCATTATGGTGAAACGGGCCTATGAGACTGTGAGTTGACAGATCAGAGCGGACCACGCTGACTTGGGTGGACATTTAGGAGTCTCACAGAGTCCCCCTCTCATTGCACTGCCCCACCCTTTTCCAGATGACAGGGGCAGGAGTCCCCTTCTCTGCCAATGGAAGGCCTTTGGCCTCAGGGATTCGCTCAAGCTCTCAGCCTGCAGCCAAGCGTCAGAAACTAAACCCAGCTGATGCTCCCAATCCTGTAGTGTTTGTGGCCACAAAAGATACCAGGTAGGGAGCTCGCCATAGGAGGGGCTGAGAGGTAGACAGCCCAGGTTGGTGGGTATGGGAAATAGCTCCAGGAAGACTGGGTTACAGGGTAAGGATGACAGAAAAGAATGTGCTGGAAGGTAGAATTGCAATGTGGAATGGAGGACTACACCTTTAGGTTCTTAGCCTTCTGTATGCCCCTCTTCTCTTCCTGGCCAGGGCCCTGAGGAAGTCTCTGACCCATCTGGAAATGCGACGAGCTGCCCGCCGGCCCAACTTGCCCCTAAAGATGAAGCCACCGCTGATTGCAGTGCGGCCTGCAGTTCCTCTGCCTGCACCCTCACATCCTGCCAGCACCAATGAGCCCATTGTTCTGGAGGATTGAGCATCTGTGGGGAAGGGAGGTGGGCTGAAAGCTGGAGGTGGGTGTCCAGGGCACCCTGCCTCCCTTCCCTCTACTATCAAAGGGAGTGAGGAGTGAGGGAGGGAGGGAGCAAGTGTGTCCTTGGAGGGATCTGGCGCCCTCTGGTGTTACTACTTCTGAAGCTTGTCCCCTTCCTCTGCTTCTCCATGCCTGGGGATGGAGGGCCTACTGCAGGAACTTGGCCCATTGTGGGAACCTAGCCTGTTTTGGGGGATAGGACCCACAGTTGTCTTGGACAGTTTTGGGGGGAGGGTTTTTTAATTTTTTAAAAATTTTGCCTCCCTTTGTCAAAGGGGATGGGGGAGGGGAAGAGTAAACATATCAGGTGGTGGTACCTGGTTGGGGGAGGGGCGTGCACTGCCATGACTGCCATGTCTATCTTTTTTTTTTTTTTTTTCCTAATTGGGGGTTTCTCTTCCTGTCCGGTGTCCGGACTTCCCTAATTGGAGTTTGAGGCCCATAAGCTGGCATCAAACCCAGCCCATGCTCGCTCTTTTCCTTCCCTCCCCTCACGCCTCTGCCTTTTGTACGCCAATTCTCAGAAATAAAGATCTTTTGTCCGTTTTTTTAACCTCGGATTCTGTAATTGGTTCTTATAGTAACAAATAAAAAGCTGTTTTCTTCAGCTCCTCCTGACTCAGCTTTTCTCTGCCATGGGTGTGTGTGGGAGGAGTGTGTGTATGTCTTCCATTAGGAAAATTAAAGATAAAGGACAATGAAGAAGGTAGCGATGGGGCTTGCCCTGGGAACAGCTTTGTGAGTTTTGCAGCTTGCACAGGTGGCCTGTTCCAGGAAGCTCAAGCTCAAGCTTTCTTGCAGGACTTACACTGCCCCCCAGCTCCCTGGGCTGCTGAAACCTGAGCACCATCCTGGTTCATCCCAAAGTGGTTGGGATGAGCTGGCTTTCTGGATAATGGGTGGCTTCTGTAGAGAGGTATGAAGGGGTTCTTTTCTCTGTGACTCCACCCTTAGCCCCCTTCCCTTTCTCTTAGGGAGTTCCAGGAATTGCCAGAGGTCAGGACACCTTGGGCGGTGACTGCAGAATCTTGCCACTGAGCTCTGATGTATCTGCACTGCAGCATTGTATGCTGCTTGAAGGATCTCCAAGGCTGGTCTCAGCAACTGTCTGGACAGTGGGGCCCACTTTGGGCCTGTTTCCTGCCTATTTCTGGCGGCATCAGCCTAGCCCAACAAGAGGAGCGTCTTAAGAGAACAGGAATCTTACACCTACATGCTCCTGCTATCTGGGGGATAACTTAAGGTTACAGACCTTGATGTCTGCCTCAGGTCCACTACTCTTTCTACTACCCAAAGTGTGGGCTGGTAACAAATCACAGCAGGAGTGGCTAGCCCATCTGATAGACGGCCCCATCTCGTGGTTCCTGTCCTAGGGCCTCCCTAGTTCTCGTTCTCGCTTGTCCTGAGCCTAGTGTCGGGAGGAACTGACCACTGTGAGTTGGGAGGAGAGCAGTTCTCCCCTTCCGTGTCTTCACTCAGTTGCCATCATATTAGGTTCCGTCACGCTGCTCTGAAGTGGGCCGCTGGCTCGGACGCCTCGCGAGTCCACGCCACACAGCTCTCCGCTGCGGAAGGAAGCTCGGCTCACCCGACTGCCGCGACCTGGTTGTGGCCCCGTGAACGCGGCAGATGCCCGGTGGGGGCAGAGTTCCCGGCCAGGGCTGGGAAATGGTCGCAGAATACCTATTTTGGGGGAGGACCGAGGGCAGAAGGAGAGCAACAGTCTTCAGGAGGTTGAAAGTACAGAGACAGCCCTGGGCTGCGTGGAGGTTGCTGTCCTCTGCCTTCCCCAGGTAAACATGGGGCGGGGACCGCGGCGCGGGTCCCTCGCTGCCCCTCGGAACCTAGAACAGGGCGCGCAGCCGCCGCGCAGCCTGGAAAGGGCAGCTGTCAAGGAGCCCGCCGCGAGAAGCCGCCTTTGTGGTTGCTGTTAGAAATATTCACGATGCATTGAGCCAATCAGTGCCCGAACAGTTCACGGCACACCAATCGGCTTCCCGCATGCAGATAAGCATCCTAGCCCGGAGGTTTTTCCTTAAGTAGGCGGAGACGGCACTGGCTGGACACGGAACCCTGAGGCGGAGGAGCTCAGTTTCCGGGGGAGCGTGCCGGCGCCACTGGCCTGCGAACGTCACTTCCTATGAAGCGGGCGGAAGTCGCTTCTGAGCGCGTTGGGGTTTGGAGTGAGTTCCGGTGGCCGCGCGGGTGACTGCGTTGTGTTGGGGCCGGAGAGTTGCGATGGCGGCGGTGGATGCGGATGTCGAGTCGCTGCCGCGTGGGGGTTTCCGCTGCTGCCTCTGCCACGTTACTACAGCCAACCGTAAGCGGTGGCTAGTGAGGGGTGGTTGTGGGCTTCCGTCTTTTGGATCACGCGAAAGTTAGGTCCTAGTTCTGGTCCCGTCGGTCGGCACGGTCACTCGCCTCCTTGTTCACTCTGCGAGTCCCAAGGGAGTAGCGAGCAGGGAAAGTGCCACCACCTTACACCCCTCCTTCCCAGGCTCCGCTTTAACCGTTGTGGGCGGTCATTCCTGTGCTGGTACTCTGCTGGGCTCTGGCGGAGAGGAAGGAATGAAGGAACTCACCATGCAGAGATGGAGACTCTTTGATTGTGCTCTGTAGAAATGTCTGCACAGCCGTGGGATCACGGAGATGTAGGGACTGCGCAGGGAAGAAACGGGTGAAGTAGCAGCACATTCATGACTTGGAAGATGGGTATGGAAGTCAGGTCAGGTCCTTGCATGACCGTCCAGGGCTTCATTGAAATCCCGAATTCCACTTTTGAAGTCTGAAATTATCTCCCCTAAAAGGGGGTCTTCTGCCCTTCTTCTTCTTTGTGAATGGCACTATCACTATTTGTCCAGTTGGGCAAACCAGAACGCCAGAGTCTTCCCTGGTCCCACATGTACATTGGTGAAATCAAAGCAGCCAACTCAAAATGTCATAAAAAAAGGTAATAGCGAAAATCTTTTTCTACATTTATCATGCACGAGACTCTCAGCAAAGTGCTGTGAGTGAATAATGTGGTAGTTGTTATCACTTTATTTTATGACAATGATGTGTAGAGGTTAACTAACTTGCCTGCAATCTCACACAACTTGTCAGAGCTGAGATTTTAACCTGGGCAGTGTGACTTCAGATCTTGCACTTGCAGTGTCTATCCCATACTCAGAGCCTATCCAGAAAGCCTGGTCTGGGATTTACTTAGTTCTGTATATGACTTGGAGAAGTCACCTATTAATTTCTTTGCAATTTGCAGGTGTCACTATATCTAGCACTTAATAGATGGCTTAAGAAATAGCTGCCGTGTAGCCAGTTCTCCTGGGAACCACTTGGACACATGCACTATATTGACAAATAGACAAGGGAGGAAGGTGGATTTTATTTTATTTTGTTTTTAAAGATTTATTTATTTATGCATGCAAGAACGGGGGTACAGGCCAGAGGTGTGGGAGGTGAGAGGATTAACCAGACAGTGGGGAGCAGAACAGGCAGAAGGACTGAAATACACTGCTGAGGGGAGCAGCGGGCGAGTCAGAAGAGGTCTGCTGCACCATGTGTGTCAGCTCCCTGGCTGCGAATGGAAGGCGTGCTGCAGTGGCTGTGGATAGCTTCCTAGGTTCCGTCTTAACCCCTTGTGCCACCAGGGAGGCCCGGACTTTGTTTATTCACATGTCACATTTTCTATGGCTTGGAAAGATCAGTGAGTGGGGTTTAGGTATGCTGGCGTTGGCTACTCTGAAGATTGATTTGGTTATTTTTGTTTCACATTTGTCTTTGCAGGACCCAGCCTAGATGCCCATCTGGGAGGCCGGAAGCACCGGCATCTGGTAGAACTAAGAGCTGCCCGAAAGGCACAGGGACTTCGAAGTGTGTTTGTCAGTGGCTTTCCTCGGGATGTGGGTTCTGCTCAGCTCTCTGAATACTTCCAGGCATTTGGTCCTGTGGCCAGTGTTGTCATGGACAAGGACAAGGTAGAATGAATGACTTTTGGGGGTAAAGAAAGAGTCAGATGTGTTGTAAGAAACCAGCAGCTTGGGCCTTCCTGGTGGTACAGGGGTTAAAGTCTCAGCGCTCTCAAGCTATTGCCAGCCAGGGCAGCATGAGTTCAATCCCCGGCCAGGGAGCTACCCACATGCCGCAGCAGACCTCTCCTGTCTCCCAGTTGCTACCCTCAGCAGTCTATTTCAGTCAGTCTGCCTGTTTTGCTCCCCATTCTGTCCCTGGTGAATTCTCTCACCCACTGAACCTCTGGCCTACACCCAATTCTTCTGTGCATAAATAAAAATCTTTGAGAAAAAAAAAAAACAAAACAGTTTGTTTCAGCTGGTTCCTGCTGTGACTTGTCCTTGGTGGGAGCCACAGTACTTCTTGGACCGGTCCAGCTTTGTGAGCCTCTCACCTGCCACGTCCTCTTTCCCCTCCCCCAGCAGATTTTATCAGTTCACCGCGTTTAGTTATTGGGGGACTTGTGGATCATTTATTCATTTGACCTTTTATTTTACTTGCCAAATATTAACTTTACACTATGCACCGCTTAGTGCTGTATTCTAAGAAGTGAATTGGATAGACATAGCTCCTGTTCACACAGAGCTTACAGTCTTGTTGAGAAACAGACATTCTCATCTACTGCCAGACAGTGTGTTTGGATTTTTAGTGCTGCTGTTGTGGTTTGCCAGGGCGTGTTTGCCATCGTGGAGATGGGGGACGTGAGTTCCCAGGAAGCTGTCCTGGCTCAGCCCCAGCACAGCCTGGGCGGCCATCGCCTGCGAGTCCGGCCACGAGAGCAGAAAGAGTTCCAGAGTCCAGCATCCAAATCCCCCAAAGGCGCTGCCCCTGACAGTCACCAGCTGCTCAAAGCCCTCGCGGAGTCGCCAGATGTGGGGGCCCAAATGATCAAGCTCGTGGCGCTAAGGGAGTTGTCTGAGGCTGAGCGGCAGCTCCGGAACCTTGTGGTGGCCCTGATGCAGGAGGTTTTCACAGAGTTCTTCCCTGGTGAGCCACCTCTCTCGCAGCGTCTGAGCCCTCTCTGTCTCTGCCTTCTCCATGTCTGCCCCCCCAGGCCTCTCTCAGCTAGATGTGTTCACTTCATGGCTCTCTGGTTTGTACCCCATTATGTTCTCCCACCCTCACTCCCCACAATGTCTCTTGACCTTCATTCTGCTTGGCACCCAGGCTGCGTGGTCCATCCTTTTGGCTCATCTATAAACAGCTTTGACGTACATGGCTGTGATCTCGACCTCTTCCTGGACCTGGGTGACTTGGAAGAGCCCCAGGTGAGTGACCGGGGGTGGTGGGCAGCTGGGGGGGATTGGATTCATGTGAGTCCAGGCAAGCCTTTCCCTCCCCACCTTAGTTCTTCCTCAGGACAGTCCAATGGGGACAGTGGGACCCATCGGGATGGTTGTCGTAATGGAAGAAACGTGAATGTGGATGGGTGTTGGAAAGGTTGGAAATTAATTGGCACAGGAGAGATGGCATTTAAGTAGGAAATAATGTCACGGGCAATACCTGTTTTGGAAAGCATATCAGAGGACACATAAAAGGTCATTTGGGAGTTTTGTTTTGGCTTATCTGTATTTAATGTACAGATTCTACTTTGGGAATAGCAAAGGGTTATTATTTTTAAAAGACTATCTTTGAGAGCAAGTTTAGGTTCACAGCAAAACTGAATAGAAAGTACAAACTTCCCTATACCTCCTCTCCCACACAAATGGTCATTTTAAAATAAAAATTTTCGCATTCTCTGTCTTCTCTACACACACACACACACACACACACACAGTTTTCTGAATAAGTTGAGCATAGGTTGTCTACATCTTGCCCCTCTGCCCCGGACTATTCCAGAGTTGATTACCTAAGACCACACATACTCCTGGGGCAGAGCTGAGCCAGTGAACAAGTTGAGATGTTTGGCAGCTGAAGTGTAAAACTGGACAAGACTTTGTGCTGTCCCCTGTGTTCTATCATCTGGAGCAATTCCTCTGCCTGCCTTTATCTTTCATGATGAGGATATTCGGTTAAAGACTTTTTTTTTTTTTAATTTTTTAAAAAGATTTATGTATTTATTTATACAAGCACTGGGTACAGTCAGAAGCGCGGGAGGGTGAGACAATTCACCAGAGCCAGAGGGGAGAGCAGAGCAGGCAGAATGATGAAATACACTGCTGAGGGGAGCAGCGGGTGGCAGGAGAGGTCTGTGTGCCATGTGGGACCCTCGCCTGGCAGCCGGGGATCGAACCGGCGCTGCAGAGGCTGCGGGCAGCTTCACAACCCAGCGCTCAACCTCTGCGCCACCGGGGAGGCCCAAAGACAGTTTTTTTTTTTTTTTTTCCAAAGACAGTTTTTTTTAATGGCATTAAAAGGTTCTTTTTAATTTTTTTTTAAGATTTATTTATTTATACAAGCACTGGGTATAGTCAGAAGTGCAGGAGGGTGAGAGAATTCACCAGAGCCAGAGCAGGGAGCAGAACAGGCAGACTGATGAAACACACTGCTGAGGCGAGCAGCGGGCAGCAGAAGAGGTCTGCGTGCCATGTGGGACCCTCGCCAGTGGCTGGGGATTGAACTGGTGCTGCAGAGGCTGCGGGCAGCTTCGTAGCCCAGCGCTCAACCGCTGCGCCATCAGGGCCTAGGGGCCTCCCCGGTGGTGCAGCGGTCGAGCGCTGGGTTGCGAAGCTCCCCGCGGCCTCTGCGGTGCTGGTTCGCTCCCCGGCTGCTCCCCTGCCACCGGAGGAGGGTCCCACATGGCGCGCAGACCTCTCCTGCCGCCCGCTGCTTCCCTCAGCAGTGTACTTCGGTCCTTCTGCTCCCCGCTCTGGCTCTGGTGAATTCTCTCACCTTCCCGCGCTTCTGACTGTACCCAGTGCATGTATAAACAAACAAACAAACAAACAAATAAATAAATAAAATACGTGCCTCTTTAAAAAAAAAAAAAAAAGAATAGGGCCTGGCACATAATGCGCAATAGGTGATAGGTATGTCTTGGGGGTGGGATGCTCCCCAGTTAGAGGGCAGGAGAGGAATTCACTCAGTTCATGTCTACCTGCAGCCAGCCCCAAAAACTCCAAAGTCTCCATCCTTGGACTCTGCGCTTGCCTCCCCACTGGATCCTCAAGCTCTGGGCTGCATCCCAACTTCCCCTCCAGACTCGCAACCTCCAGCTTCTCCTCAAGACTCAGAAGCCCTGGACTTTGAAATCCCTTCCTCTTCCTTGGCACCCCGGACTCCAGACTCTGCTTTGGCATCTGAGACCCTTGCCTCTCCCCAGTCCCTGCCACCAGCCTCACCACTGCAGGAAGACCTGGGGGAGAAGGAATTGGGCAAGGCCCTGGGGGCAGCAGAGGCACTGAAGGGGGAAAGGACAGAGGGTGAAACGGTGCTGGAGCTGGTGGGATCCATTCTGCGGGGCTGCGTCCCCGGAGTGTACCGAGTCCAAACTGTGCCCACTGCCCGACGCCCTGTAGTCAAGTTCTGCCATCGGCCTTCAGGTCTCCACGGTGACGTCTCCCTCAGTAACCGGTACCTTTGTGGAGTGGGTGCTCGGGGCAGGCCAGCTGAGCCTGCTGGGGTGGATGAGGAGGGAGCCTGGTTTGGGAAGCTCCCGCCTGGTCCTTGCCTGGCTGCATTCCATGTTCTGCCCCTCATCTGTTGTCTGGCTTCCATCTCGGCGTGCATGAGCGTGTGTCTTGGACTGCTGTTCCTCAGAGATTTAGAAGAGTTCCATGGTTGACTAAGATTGGGAAATGCACACAGGCTTTTTCCTTCTCCTGTCCCACTTCCCCTTTCCCTCACTCTCGCTCCTACCTTCTCTACCTTCCCCTCCATTTCTTTGCACAGCAAAGCCCTGGGCGAGCCCAGCTTAAGAACATGCCTAAGAACACGTTTGATGTTCTTTTGCACACCCGCTCACAGCACTGGTGTGTCTGCAGACATTTCGGGAAACCTTCCTTTGGGTTTCTTCCAGCTGACAGCAGTCACACGAGTCTGGATTCTGAAACCCCGGCACCCTCTTCTCTGTCACAGGCTGGCTCTGCACAACTCCCGTTTCCTGAGTCTCTGCTGTGAGCTGGACGCACGTGTTAGGCCCCTTGTCTACACCCTCCGCTGTTGGGCCCAGGGTCGAGGGCTGTCAGGTAAGAGGGAGAATCAGGACAGACTTAGAGTTGAGAGGGTATCAGGGCAAAGCAGGGATTTGGAGAGAGAAGGGAGACAGGCATGGGGGTTGCAAAGATTACCAAGGAGAGGCGGAAGCACCTCTTCTAACTGGAATTATTACTCACCAGGCAGTGGCCCCCTTCTCAATAACTACGCCCTGACCTTGCTCGTGATCTATTTCCTTCAGACCAGGGACCCTCCTGTGTTGCCCACTGTGTCCCAGCTTACCCAGAAAGCAGGTACGGTAGCCCTTCTTTCTACCCTCTTGCCCCCCTCCCCCTTCTCCCTGCTGCCAGACTGACCCTGACCTTATTCACTGTCACAGGTGAGGGAGAACAGGTAGAGGTTGATGGCTGGGACTGCAGCTTCCCCCGGGATGCCTCGAGACTGGAGCCCAGCATCAATAAGGAGCCCCTGAGTGAGTGTGGGGAACCTGCGAGGCAGAGCACTCACCAGGGAGGCTCATCATGGCCACTGTGTGCCAGGCGTGGGTCTGAGATCACTGATACCATTATTGCCATTTTGCCTGTGAAAAAGCCATGCCTTTAACCATGCCATAAAGGGCTTGCCCAAGTTACAGTCTAGCAAGGGGGGAGCAGCATCTAGAAAAGAACATGGCCAGCAGCAGGGGAGAGAGGTGCGCTCTTCTGAGCCACCGGGAAGGGGCAAAGTCCTGCTAAGGGGATGCTCAGTGCAGGGCCTGCGTCCCTTCTGGCCTGGAAGTAACCCCTTTTTCCTGATTCTTTCCTCTTCCAGGTTCCCTGCTAGCCCAGTTCTTCTCCTGTGTGTCTTGTTGGGACCTTCGGGGCTCACTGCTGTCCCTGCGGGAGGGTCAGGCATTTCCGGTGGCAGGAGGCCTGCCTTCAAATCTCTGGGAGGGTCTCCGCCTCGGCCCCATGAATCTCCAGGACCCTTTTGACCTGAGTCACAACGTGGCAGCCAATGTGACCAGCCGGGTGGCTGGGCGGCTGCAGAACTGCTGCCGAGCGGCAGCCAATTACTGCCGAAGCCTCCAGTACCAGCAGCGTTCCTCCAGGGGACGTGATTGGGGGCTGCTCCCCCTTCTGCAGCCCAGCTCCCCGAGCTTCCTACTGTCTGCAACCCCCATCCCCTTGCCCTCTGCTCCCTTCCCCCAGCTCACTGTTGTCCTGTTCCAGGTGTTAAGGGAAGCACTGGGGTGCCAGATAGAACAGGGAGCCAAGAGACTGCGGTCAGAGGGAGGTGGAAGTGGGGAGTCTGCCCAGGGAGGGACAAACAAAAGATTGAAACTAGATGGGCAGAAAAAGAGCTGGAAGGAGGAGCAGCAGGGGAGCACAGTGGATCGCAGCAAAGATGGAGTGGAAGAAATGGTGGTAGAGGTTGGAGAGACGGTGCAGGACTGCGCCATGAGGAGCCCTGGGCAGCCCGGAGAGCCGCCCCTGACCGCCAGGAATCACCTAGTCTCTGGAGAAAAGGGGCCGTCAGAAGGACAGGAGGCAGTCCAAGAAGGGGCCCAGGGGGAGACAGGGAAGGGGGCGTTGCTGTCCTCAGTGAGCTGGCGCTGTGCCTTGTGGCATCGAGTGTGGCAGGGACGACGGCGTGCCCGGAGACGCTTGCAGCAGCAAACCAAGGAAGAAGGTGGAGGCCGCCCCGGCACCGGAGCAGAGTGGCTGGCGACTGAGGCTCGGGTGACGCAGGAGCTGAGAGGACTGAGTGGTGCTGAGCAGGGGCCAGAGGCCGAGCCGCTCCTGACCTTTGTGGCCTCTGCCTCCCAGGCTGACCAGACTCTCACCATGACCCCCCTCCAGGATTCCCAAGGCCTGTTCCCTGATCTCTATCACTTCTTGCAGATTTTCCTCCCTCAAGCGCTTAGAAATCTCCTTAGGGACCCTAAAGGGCACTAAAGCTGCTAGTTTAATAAACACTAGTTTTCTCTGATTTCCACCTGGTGATAATCCTTCCCCCCAGACATTCCCCCGCCCCAGATCTTAATGCAGCCTTCTCAGAGGGGACTGTGCTGGTCACCTTAAGATAAGTCTCAGTCGTTTCTTTCGTACCATCGACCACAACTTCCAGAAAGTGCCAGGGATGGTTTGTGTTTGGCACCTTGTGCCCACTTAGTGGTCTTGAGTGACTGGTTCCTGTTAAGAACCAGGTTTGCCTCCACATTTACCTTGTTGCTCAGATTTATGAAGGGCGCCAGGGCCTGAAATTTGAGTTTGGGGTTCTTTTTTTCTTTAACCATACAATAATGGGGGTACAGGCCAGAGGCGCGGGAGGGTGAGAGAATTCATCAGAGACAGAGCGGGGAGCAGAAAACAGACTGAAACATTGTTGAGGGGAGCAGCGGGCGAAACAGGAGGGGTCTGCCACTTGTGGGTATCTCCCTGGCCGCTGGGTATCTTTGCTGCCGGGAATCAAGCCGCTTCCCAGCTCTGCGCTCAACCCTCTGCGGTCAACCCTCTGCGCCACCTGGGAGGCCGCAGGGTTCTTATCCTTTCTCATTTAATAGAATTCAACCTATTTTCTTTTTATTTATTTTTAATTTAAATTTTATTTTTATATTCCCCACATAATTACAACCTTATTTTGACCCCAATCCCTCCTTTCCCCGCCCCCCACCTCCCATAGAGTGTCTCTGGTTCATGGTTGGTTGTTGATTTTGATATTTTCTTTCTTAATAGTTATTCTTTTTCCTGGTCCTTTATTTAAGTTTTCTAGATTCGTGCTATGAGTGAGACCAGAATTCAACCCATTTTCAATTGAAGAAAAGGTTTTCAGGCCTGTGTCTGAGGATGGGGGGTGTGGGGTGTGTGCTCCCTCAGACCCCCCCCCTTGCAGGTCAGAGGTCTAGCACCCCTCTCGAAATAACAGCATTCAGTCGCGGCAGGATGTTCCACGTTTCATGTTAGAAAACCTGACTTTCACCGAGGTGTTTTCAGACCCGCGCTGCCGTCAACACACGGCCTCTAGAATAAAACCAGCGCGGGAACAAAAGGAACTTGGCACACCGCCCCCTCCCACGCTGGGAAGCACACAAACTGATGTTGGGGTCTGGCAGGCCCCCCATCCAATCACTCGTGGCTGGGTCTCACTTGTACCACGACGCGGGGGGAGGCCTCTGAGAGCCCGCCGGGCGCCGGACCCTCAGGGCGCCACGTAGCTGCCAAGGGGCGGCTTGCCAGCCGGTTCTCACAGATTCCCCTCCCTCCGCGCCTTCTACCGCCTCTTCGGGCCTCGGATTGGCCAGACCCAGGGGCGGGCCAGCCGAGCGCCCCACCGCGCAGGCGCGAGCCTTCCCCGCGCCCGCCCGCGGGCCCCACCCCCTTTTTCCAACTCGGGCGGAATACTGAACTGTCGTGCGTATGCCTTCTATGCCGTCCTCGCTTTCCGGCAGCTGTTTCTCTACGGCTCTCCCCTGACCGCCCCCTCCCTTCTCTCCCTGGCGGCGTACTTTGCGGCAGCGCCAAGAGCCCCACCCCCTTTCTCTGCGGAATCACCATGGCGGCTGGGGTGAGTTTGCCGGCTCTGGCGATCCAGGTCACCCTATCCGATGCCATCCTCTGTCCGAATGGGGTCAGCCGGCGCCAGAGGAGTTCTGGGGCCGAGTGGGGGACTAATCCGGAGTCTAGATACTGTGCTGTTGGAGAGCAGGGCTTCCAGGCCCTGGTGGGGAACTGAGACTGGGGCTCTCCGAGGCCAAAGAGGTGGAAGAGTCTGGGGGAGAGGAGAAAGAAATGCCGGACCCTGGCCACCCGGGGCCTGAGACAGGATTCGGGTTCATTGCCGCCGCGAGACGTGGGATCTGGGCAGATTGACAACTTTGGCGAGCGTTTTGTGGGGCATCAGTAGGGACGGAGTGACGGGAAGGGTCTTTGTGGGTATGTGTGGCTGGCCACGATTAAGGTCGTTCGTCACGGAGGTTTGGGAGCGACAGAGATCGCCGGACGGTGCAGTTGGACCCCGCTGGCCAGGTTAATAGCAGAGAAGGCAACAGCAGAGAACTCACTGCGGGACGGGACCGGAGGGATGGTACGCGTGGCGAGGAAAGAAAGGCTCTTTTGGGGAGAGGAACTGATTTAGGAAGAGAAGGTGCCACCCGGTGCCTCCGTGGCTGTTCTGGGGGGAACTTGGAAATCTCTGGCTCGGTGTGTGAGTCTTGGAGACCAGGCTGATGCTTTGGAAGGGGCTGGGCGGTGGAGTAGGCGCTGGGTAACCATCAATGAATGAAACGGGGTTATGGGATGGGAGGGGTGGGGTGTATGTGAGCAGATGGAGTCTGAGGGAGCTACAAGTTCTGGATATCTTGGAGATGTTTGAGGGGAAGAGAATGCTTGTGGAGATGTCCTTAGGGAAGGTCAGCTCTGTCAACAAGCTTTATTTAGCAGCTGCTGTGTAGTTGTGTCCTGGGATTTGGGAAGGATTCTGATTACACATGACAGATAGCAGAGAAATTGATTCACCACGGGGGCTGAACAGGTTGGGAAATTAGGGAAGGCATCCCAGAGGTGACATGCACCGGGACCCTTCTCCCACTAATGTCAATACCCTTTTTCTCGCACAGACCCTGTACACATACCCTGAAAACTGGAGGGCCTTCAAGGCCCTCATTGCTGCCCAGTATAGCGGGGCTCAGGTCCGCGTGCTCTCCGCACCACCCCACTTCCATTTTGGCCAAACCAACCGCACCCCTGAATTTCTCCGTAAATTTCCTGCCGGCAAGGTGAGTAGGGAAGTAGAGAGGGGCCTCTGGTCTTGAGAAACCTAGGAACCATCAGATTCTATCACTCTGAAGATGCCTTCCATCTTTAAGTGGGAGCTTTCTGTGTTAATATTTTGGGGGCTGGGGGTACATTTCAGTGTGCCGAAACATGTATTTTTAGAGATTTATAGATTAACTTGTATTTAGAAATAACACAGAGCTATTCTGTGTTAGTGGTCATATAAATTCACATGCTTCTGGGTGTTTGCTGAAGGAGTTTTGACCAAGTGTTTTTAGTCTCTCTACTGTGCACATCTGCTTCCAGGGGCTTACAGAGACAGATAACCATGCCGAGGCTTGAAGAGATCATGGCTGTGTGGGGGGCCTGGTGATACTTTGAATGTTACAGATGAAGATTTGGTTTCTGGCCTTTTGCATATTTGAGGGACTGTAGATGAATATTCAGTAAGATCTAAATCTTTTGGGTTTCTTAAGTGTTCTGAGTTCAGATGGCAGAGGAGACCAAATTACTTAAATTTTTTTGGTTCCTGAGTTTCATAGTATCAAGAATTTAGCAAGGCTTGTCAGCCTTATATGAAAGCTTTTATAGGAAACATTTCAGTTCCTTGGCTTTAGTGAGAAATTACTGTGTATTTTCTCTCTTGACTGCTTTGTCGCCAGGTTCCAGCATTTGAGGGTGATGATGGATTCTGTGTGTTCGAAAGCAATGCCATTGCCTACTATGGTAATTTGCAGTGGATGTGGGAATGGGAGGGCCTGGAGGTGAGGGGTGTTGAAGGGGGTGAGCTGGAGTGGACAAGGTGAGGGATTTTCAAGGACCTGGTTTGGTGTTGGCACAACTCCAAAGTTTGACCTTTGCGTCCTGCCTCTGCAGTGAGCAACGAGGAGCTGCGGGGAAGTACTCCAGAGGCAGCTGCCCAGGTGGTACAGTGGGTGAGCTTTGCTGATAGCGACATAGTGCCCCCAGCCAGCACCTGGGTCTTCCCCACCTTGGGCATCATGCACCACAACAAGCAGGTAAGCCTTGGGGCAAAGCCGGGGCACGGAGTGTCAGGGAATATGAAATATGATCAGCTGAAGAAAGGGTGATGAGAATACCTGGGTTGTAGAGACCTAGTCTTTGGGGTGTAGGTTTGGAGCCCTGGGCTGTTGCTGGTATCTGGGTCCTTTATCAGAATATTGTCAGAGAGGACCCAGTGGAGGTGGTGACAGAGGAGAGGAGACACCGTGACAGAGGAGACACCGTGAGCAGTCAGAGGGGAGACAGCAGTTGACAGTGGAGTGGTTAGACTAAATGGCTTCAGAGATTGCTTCTGAAATCCACAGATAATGAGAAATGAAGGAGGACATTTAGCATTGAGAGATTTGTTGGTGAGACCTGGAATGCTTTTAGACTGTGATGCCATTGAAGGAGGGTGGGGTGAGCCAGGACATGGAAGTAGCTACCTTGGTTCGACTATTGGGAGCCAGGGGCCGAATGGGACCCACTGATACATTTGTTCCTTTTAAATCAATAGGCCACAGAGAATGCAAAGGAGGAGGTGAAGCGAATCCTGGGGTTGCTGGACGCTCACTTGATGACAAGGACTTTTCTGGTGGGCGAACGAGTGACACTGGCCGACATCACAGTTGTCTGCACCCTGTTGTGGCTCTATAAACAGGTGAAGTCTATAAAGAACCAGGTTGGTGGGGTTAGAAACAAAGTGATGGGTCTTATAGGTGACCTTGTAATATGCTGAGAACGTGGATGTGAGGGCGTCCCAGGGCTGGGTATGGGCCTGCTTAGAAAAAAGCAAGAGAAGTTTGGTTATGTCCTTGCTCTCAGTTTGGCAGCCGGGATGTTTAGTTTGTTACGGCGTTTCTTGGAGAAGCCCTGGTTGTGAGGTCAGAGGTAGCTTCGGCTTCCAGACTTGCTGAAGGTGGAATGAACGTCAGTCTTTGACTTCCCTAATTAGTGGCTGTAAAGTGGGGGTATGCATGAGGATTACGTTAGTCCTGTATTTTCACTTGTGTAAACTGGTCAGTCCTGGGCCCTGTGAAGTTACTGGTGCAAAGAAGATGATGTGTTACTTGGTTCGTAAGCAGCAGCTCTCGGACTGATGCTGGTCCAGAACAGTGCCGTGATAATGCCCTAGAAAAAGCACCTGCTTCTGCACCAGACCCTGAGCCAAGGCCTTATGGGATGTCTTAGTGAATCTTAGTGCCTATTTCGTGTGTGAGGAGAAATGGAACTTGGCCTGGGGCTGCAGCTGTTAGGTGCTTGCAAGCACCACGGAAGTGCTGCAGAACGGATGTTGTTTTCGGTCTCTTGGACAGAACTTTATTTTTTGCCTAATCTTGGCAAACTAAAAAGTGGTAAAGGATTTTTTAATGAAACTTAAGTTGAAAGAACTGGCTTTTACTCTGAAATAAACTTTCTCGCTGTTGAATATTCTTTTACTTTCTGCAGTTTGCATATATGTGTCACATAGTTACGTAGATTGTTCTTACTTTATTGCACAGAATGAGCAATTGATAGTCCTCTGGTTCCTCCAGCCTTTATTTTTAAGTTTACCAAGATGTGAGGTTGTATGGGCACACCGCCTGTGTGGTGCCTATCTTGAAGGCTCCTGGGAAATGGAGGGTGGGAGCGAGCATCCATCCACTTGGACTGGACTGCAGAAAAGAGGTCAGGGAGTAAACGGGAGGCAGCTCTCCCGGGTGAGTTGGTATCTTGTTGG